TGGAAAATATTTACAATTTACAGGGGATGAAAACCTTGCTTTTTCCATACTGATGACAGGGCAATCCAACTCCCTTTTCCTACAAACTTCAAACAGCCATGGCATCTGTTGATTTAAACTTAACTCTGTCCATTAAGACTGCTTTATTTGTGTTTGCTTTATTAGGTCAGCAGCAAAAATAAGTCATCAAAAATTCTTTGCTCTTTGCTTTTCAATTATAGGTTATTTCATTTTGTGGAAGCATTGATGGCTGGACTAGATTGTAGGACCATTGGAATGCTACAGGACATCATTTCAGTATATGCAACTACTACAAATGTGGAGAGAACCATAAGCACAAATCGCATTGACTTCTAGAGCATCAGACATGCACTGGCCAGATACAGCCCCCAGCACAAGTCATTCTAGCTTTATGGAATGTGGATATCTTCATCTTTATCACTGCCTTAATGGTCCAGCAACCACAAACTCAACTTGGGGCAGAAACTGGTTTTTCCAGAGATACCTCTACTTTTCCAGTCCATGCCTAATAAAAAGATACCATTCCCACATGAACAAGTTGCCATTGCTTATTAATACCAGCTGATCTGGTAGATGCTCAGGCATAAATGTCATACTTGAGAGGCTGTTGTGCTCTCTGTGCTTTCTAGTACCTTTTAAAAACATACCTTTATAGGTAAAGCAGTAGCTATACATACCAAAGGGAAATTTGGAATGTAAGACTTGCCTCTTATTTATCTTTCAACATTTCATTGCATATTCACATTGAAAGTTGTCTTTCTTCTCAACATTATACCATTGCTAAAAAAGAAACTGAAGAAATAAAGCCAGGGTTTCAGGGATTTTTTTTCTACCCCTTGACACATCAATCCTAAAAGATGTTTCTGAAAGGCAGGGACCCAGCCAAGGGAATCAGGAGCATTAGCCAATCATTCATGTAATGAGGAATAACTTAGAGGTGAATTAGCTACTGGAACTCTTGAATCACTCATGTATGTTACCCAACTGGAAATCAGAGTGAGGAAGCCTAAAAGACAATAGCTGCCTTTCACAAAGGACCACACTGCAACCCTACAGGTTATGTGCCCTTTAACTGGAAACACTGAGCAAACAAACAACAAAGGGAAATTCGCTTCCCAACACCACCAACAGATACAGTTTAAAGATCTGCCCAGCAGTGAGGTTGCCTTTGGAAAATACAATACAAGATCTTCAGTTTGGTTCATACTCAATTAAATCAACAAGTTTCATAGGAAGGAAAAAACAAACAAATAGACAAACTTACATTATCAGCTCGAACCTCCCACCAAGGCTGTTTCTAAGTTTTACCACCAGGTTTCCCATCCCCCCAGTATGGCAAGATAAGGAAATCCTGAATTCATTGCAGCTGGGCTGATGAGCCTTGTAATTAGGACATGCAGTGTGGTCTTTCAGGCGCCTTGAGAGCACTAACCCTTTCACTGCCAAAGCCTTTTTGCCTGTTCAAGCTCAAAATGAGACTCTATTTGAGAGGTATTTTTGTCTACCATTTAAAGAAATAGGCTGGCTTTGCTAGTGTTGCATTGTGAACAGAGAGCAAGTCATTGCTTTTGGTGGAATTCATGAGAGGAGCAATCTCCCTGCCACCTCCCAGATGAGTACTAATACACTTGAGACCAGAGTGAGTCAGAATGCATTTGTTTCTTCATCTCTGTTTTCTGTCTGAGGCCATCAACACTTTCCCTGGCACTCTAATCACCCCCTGGACATCTCCTTTTGGTGTGAAGCTAATTCAAAGTTTTTATTCAAAACCCATCTTAAAAATCCTCTTTGCAGCAGTGCAAATACTTAGTAAGGGCTGAATTGCCTGTTCTGCTCAATTGAGTGCCCCAGAAAGAAAAAAAAAAACCAAACCAAAACTGTTTTATGTATCTCAGCAATATTCGTTCACCCTTTGTCTTTTACAATGACAAAATGGAGTCAATCACCATTTCATCACATTTGTTACAAGCCCTAAGCTTTCACTATGTGATTCCAGGGGCCGGGATGAACTTTCCCATTACCACCCTTATTATATAACTTGGCTTTTGGGAATGGTTTATTTCCTCATCTCTTTCTGAAGAACTAGAGATTTCCAGAGCTAGAAACAGGATGTAGCGCCATTTGTGCTGGTGCTCTTTATAGCAACTTTCAAGTGTCAGATTGATGTGTTTTTCACATTGACTTGGAGTCAAACAGATTTAAGGCCATTTTCCAGGTCAGATTGGCAGGAACTGCTGAATCCTTTGCCTGACTATACCCAGAGGGATGGGCTGCATCTTGGGACCATCTGGGCATTTTCCAAAGGAATGCATTGTTCTTTAAAGTACCAGTGTCATCAGCAATGTCCATCTTCTCCTTTACTGTCATGTTCTGGGATGTTATATTTGTTTCTTCCTTTTTACCACTGGGCCTCAGGATGATTGTAGGGAAGTGTGTCATGGTGCTGTGTGTGCACTGAATGTTTTGCTGTGTCCAGCTGTGGCATGCATTGCACAAGTGCCCTGCCAGCTGAACCAGGTGGCCACTTTTAGAGCAGTGTGCCACTCTTTGGCCACAGAACCCTTGGTGGCTGCTAGGGGTAGGATTTAGTGTCAGTGCAGCCCATGGTCTGATGGGATCCCAGCCTCTGGCACAGCTTCTGGCTGCCACAGTTGAAATAAAAGTTTGTGAAGGTTTGCTGCCAAGGTGCCAAACTGCACCTTGTTTTCAATATTGACCTGAAACTTGCCAGGAAGGGTTGGTGGAGGAGTGAGTTACAAAATACCCAGCTGTGGTTCCAAATTGCTCCCTTTCAATGAGGGCAACAGCTCAGTGTAAAGGATGTGTAGGAAAGAAAACAGTCATCACTGCATGCCATATGTCCAATTCAAAGCCCACTGTAGACAGCTGACAGATATGTTTTGGTTTGTTACTGAGTTGGCCCTGGGGGGGAAAAACAACAACCTCCTGATGGGCAGGAGTTATTCTGCATCCCCAGAAGATATTCCAGATTTCAGCAATAGGTAAAGAATTTGTGACTTCATACGTTCTGTGTTCATACTTTCACCCTTCTATAAAGTCAGATAGTAAGGAATTTGCAAAGCTACTAATGGGTGTAATGCAGGTGAAGTACTTTAAGAACCTCTTGGCAAGAGGATCTCTTAAAAAGAAGGATTTTATATTTTTCCAAGAGTATATAAGAGAAAGTGGCTCCTAGGGAGACAAGAACTTCTTGAAGACCCTTAATTAATACTATTTTGGCATTCACAGCACTTCCCCTTCCTTTTCAAAATCTGATGCCAAGAATTTCTCATTCCAATAGCATCCAATAAATCCTAGAACTAAATTCCAGTGACCATTGGAGGTCTCTTTGGTTGCTTGATGGCTAAACCAGCTAAAAGCTTTTTATTCATTTTTGAAATACCTTTTCCTTTTAAAATCTGTAGCTTTAACCACTGAAACAAAGTGGCTGATTCTCCTCTCAGCCACATCATCTTGCACAGCACAGAACTATGCTACACAGGATGTTTTAGCCCCAGGGCAAATGTGAAGTCCCAGGTGAGATCAGATTCCACTCTGGGACCTCTTGAACTGATCCTGCTGCTGTGCACCAGCTTCAGCTTGGCAAGAGGAGTCAGTGGAGGTCAGCATGTTGTGTTTGACTACAGTGCAAGTGGGTGAAGCAGATTACTAGGCTGAATTCTTCTGTACACCATCTGTGGAGAGATGGAATTCAGGGATAGCTGGGGCTCACCCAGGTATTTGTGCCTAGAGCTTTAATATTTTTTTTTTGTATGCAGCTGTCACCCAGAAAACACTCACTGTGCAGGCACCCTGAATGTTTGAGATCTCTGAAATTAATTTAATTTCAAGTTCAGATTAATTTCACAAACTCTAAATCAATTTCAGTGCATGTCTTCAAAATATATATAACATGTATAAACACATGAAAACACCTATAAAGACCCCATCGAAATATTAGAATTCAGTAAAATTACAGCAGAGAAGTCACAGATTGGACCTCTTCTTACCTTCTTTCCCATAAGCCAGCAGTAATTCTCTGATGGCAGGAGAATTACATGAGCTTAGCATTGCAGACCTAGGGTGGAAACACCATGTGAAATGTGTCCCATCATGTGAGGATGGAAAGGACACTCAACAGTTGGTCCTATTTCTACAGTCATTCATTATGTTAATTTTTAAAAGAGTTTTAATTTTCCTTTTTAACTCCACTAGGGTTTCTTTTGGACCTTCAGTGGTTAAAGTGAATTAATCCTTCTTATCTCCATTAGGGAGAATACCTATTTAGGTGTTGATGGGTTTCCTGCTGCTCTAAAACCACTGAATAGCAAATTAGGAGCTACTGATTTGGATTTGCAGATTGAGAGAGTGAAGATCCTATTGAGGTGAAGTACAAAACCCAGGTATTTACTGTTTATCAGGAAATGTTTAAATCACAGCAGGTTCCCCCTTAGAAAATCCAAACCAGATGTAGCTCTCAATGCTTCTTGTTATTATTTGAACATGGGACTCTGTGTTGACTGTCTGATTAACTGGATTGGAAATTGGAAGTTACTTTGCATTTTTCTTGGTGTTCTTTCCTTTCTCTGACTTCAGTATTCTTTGCCAAAGTAGTTTTGGACACAAAAGGGTTCTGTTTTGTGAATTGTTCTTTCAGCTTTTTGCCTGCATAATCTAACTGTACTATGAATGCATTATGGCCAAACACAAGAAAGCAATCATTGCTTAATGGAAAGGTTGCACTAAGAGAACCATGGCAAGCTCAAAGTTTCCTGAGCAATGCAATGGTGACCAGCTCCATTGCACTGCCATTGTGAAGCCTGTATATTGCTTCCCTCAAATGTGTAGCCATGTTCCTAAGAAAAAAATAATCACTTTGTTTTTCCTGCTATTTTTATCCATCCCCTATTCAAATCTCCCCCAGAACAACCCTTAATACAGTACTGTGTTGCATGTGACTTATTTGTTTTCTTTTGCAGGCTCTGAGCAGCAGTCTCTACAAGAGTGCATCCCCTTATGGCTCCCTTAACAACATTGTGGATGGGTTAAGCTCCCTCACTGAGCATTTCTCTGACCTATCCCTTTCTTCAGAAGCCAGAAAACCCAGCAAGAGGCCACCTCCTAACTACCTGTGCCACCTCTGCTTTAACAAGGGACACTACATCAAAGACTGCCCCCAGGTAAGTAATATATAATATTCTGAAAAATATGCATCAAGATTTTCTTTAGTCCTTGATTTAGCAACACAGAAATTTGACTGAAATACTTCAGAGTGAGTAACACTGAAGAAGTATCTTGACAAAGTGCCAAGCTAGCCATGTGTTCCTTTAATCTATTCTTTATCACTATGCTGATAGACAAAGTACACTATTTCATTTGCCTTGTAAGTATTACAGAAGACATTAATGTAGGCACACAGCTGAGCAGATTCTGGTAACTTTAAAAATGGCTACTCTGTAATTTTCTATCGGGCAGCACTCTGTGTTATCAGTTTGGCAATGGCACTTAATACAACAAGTTACATATGCTGAAGGAGAAGAAATTGTTACATTCAGAGAGAACTTTGAATCAGTGTTGCACTAACACAGGCTCCAGGTATTTTGGGTGCAAAGTCTTTTTTGTCCTACAGTAGAGGTTTGCTGTACTTTGCAAAATGTGATGGTCTTTGACTCCTAGAACTTTTCTGTAGTGGCAAAGCTGGCAATATTTATTTCCTTCAAAAAGAGGTATAAACCAGTGTGCGCTAAAAGCACTTGCCAATCTACAATTTTTTTTTTCCCCTGAGGCTCCCAAGCGCAGTGAACCAGGTCTCTTAATTTTCTGGTTTCAGCTGGATGCAGTTGTGTTGCTGGCTTAAACTTACACAATTTCAACAACATCCTATGTAAAGTCCCAAGGAAATTAAAATGCTGCCAATACTCTGAAAACACAGATGTGGACATTACCAGCATCCACTTCATTATGACTTTAACCTCCTAGCCTCTTATTGTGTGACTTCCAGCAGAATTAATCTGCATAAAAATTAACTACAGTTAGTTTGCTATTGAGGATGTCAGACATTTATAAACCAAATACAGGCAGAAAAACATCTGCCAGCAGAGGAAGGAGAGCATGAAATCAAGACTAACGTCAGATGAGCTTTGAGTGTATTCCTCTTGCTGTTATGCATAGACTAACTTTATCACTTTCACTGTATATCTTTCATTAATTCTAATGAAAGCTATGGAATTAAAGTATGTTTGCAGTCTTGGGTGTGGCAATTGAAAATATTTTTACTTCTTATTTTGATCTAGGTTGAGTAAGAATTTTCTTTAGCAAAAAACGATGACATTTTCTTTGCTTCTAGGAGATTGAAAGTACTCTGGTTTCTTTACTTAAATGTTTAATCTACTTAATTTAGCATGTTACAGAAGAATGTAAAGATAGAACCATGTAATAGCATACGTTACTTAACAAGAGGATTGAAACTCCAACTACTAAATATGTGGCAGATTGAGAAACTGCTGGACTAGGGGTGGATGGTTGTGCTTTGCCATGCTCTGTGAGAAAACAAATGAATGCTGCAGGTCTCTTGCCAATCAGTATTGCAAGCTGCAGCTCACACAGACCAAGTGAATGTGTCAGTGTTGGAGCAGTAATGCATTATTTATTTCATGAGTATTTTTAGGGTTTGAGGCACCAGGGATTAAACATGTTAGTGAAAATTGAAGACATGCACACAGAAATCCAGGAGATACGAACAATTTAGGATTGTGTAGTAACACTAATTCTCTTAAATTGCACGTCCTGTATATATATTTTTTCAGACTTAATTTGTCAAGTCTTCAATTTCTCTGTGAACCAGGAAGTGGAAAGACTTCCTACTGGCATACTCTGTGACTATCCTGAGAGTTTGGGAGGAATGAGTAAAGGAGCCCAGGACAGGGAAACATCTGCTCGCTCACCACATGCAGTCTATGGTTACAGGCAGCCATATCATATAGCCCCTCTTGAAAACTGATCAGGTTTTACTTGGGAAGCATTTCAGTATTTTGCCTTTGCTACTGCTGGTGTGGGAAGCTGCTCCAGAACCTCAGTCCTCTCCTAACTAGAAATCTTCCAATTTCTAGGGTGAGTGTAACTCATGGCCACTTTATAGTCATTTGTTCTCCTGCCAACATTGTCCTCCACTGAAATAGCTCTTATCCCTCCCTGGTGTTTATCTCAGGATGTATTAATAGACTGCAATCATATCCTCTCTCAGCATTCAATCACATCCTCTCTCAGCTTTCGTTCTGTAGGACTAACCTAGCCAGGTTTTCTCAGTTTCTTCACACAAAGGATACAGAGCCTCTATTCCGCTGGCCTTCTCAAGCCTGGCTTTTTGTGCTTTTCATCTCCTTGCTCATGCATGGCCACACGTACCTGTGGCATCCCCGAGCAGAGTGTTCAGTGCCTCCTGCTCTGTGTGCACAGTTCTGTTTGTGCTAGTTAAGGGACAGGAGATATGAAATCGATTCTCTTTAACTGGAGATTTCTTCTACCACAGGCAAGTGCTTTCTGGTTTAATCAGCCAGTGCTTTCTTGAGGAAGAGCAGAGTTAAGCATTCACAGAAACATACACACTTTCCTTATGTTATCTGAGATGAGGACAGTTCTAGAGAGGATGACCCTGTGTACACAAGTCATGTTCAAAACATTGAAAACATTGTGCACAAAATGGGAGCAGCAATGGCAGGATCAGGCTTTTTTCATAAAGTCGCCATTTGTTATCACTGCTTTTAACAATAACTGATTTCTTAATTTGAACATTATATACACTGCTTAATATCTTAGGTTTGATGCTTAGTTTTGCTAGTGCTGTCAAAAATAAGTTGTTTAGCAAATCCTACCACAAAAAGGGCTGTAGCTATGTGTTTTTAAAGTCCTTAAACCTGGATAAAGAAAAGAGATAAACCAATCTGATCTGGACAAAATGTATATCAGTAAATCATACAGTATTTTTTCTTTTGTTTTTATGAAACTGCCTAATAAGAAACACATTTTGAAATGGGGTGTTCTATGAAGTTTTTTCTGCATAGCAAAGAAATTGTGTAACAGTTTTAGGACTTAATATCCTCTCTTAATTCTGCCTGTTATCACCACTGAAAATATATGTTGTTTTTCTGTTGTTGTAAAAGTTGATGACAATGCATGTATCAGTTCAGATTGATATCTTAAGTGATGATCATATTCCAGGAGGTTAAATAATTATAAACAAAAACTGCCAGCTTTAGTTTTTAAGTACCTCTTGTATCTCCAATTTGTCTAATATTGTGTCCACAACTATCTGTTTCAAAATTGAAATGGGATTTAGCAGACTTCTATTATTTTACCGTGTAGTTTGTGTCATACATGGTGATAGAAAGTGTTCTTTTCTGTTTAGGAAACTACCAGAAATAAGAACAATGTTATGATTGCAATTCATCATTTCCAATTTGCCTACATTTTCAAAAAGCTGTTTGTTGCAATAATTATGTCCATAAAAAACCCAACACTAATCTTTAGTATCATCTTTATAGCATATCTGCATTTCTTCTAAAACTAATTTGTGAGTTTCAGTGGCTTACACAGTAACATCTTACTCATACCTCTCTGATGTTCTTGCACATACAGAATTCTCATTGACTTGAATGAAGTGAAAAAAGTGTAGAAAATAAAGGTTAAAAGCAGTGTTCTTAATATAGCCCTGCTCTTAAATTATCGTTGACAGTGCCATAAAAAATAAACAAGATCTTTCTCTTTAAATAGCAAGGAAGGTAAGGAATGAGAGGACTTTTCCTATCTGGTTCACAAGTTGATTGCATTATATATATATATAGGTGTGTATCTATATATATGTGTGTGTATATATATATATATATATATCTGTATATGTATGTATATAGATCTGTCAAAATTTTGTACACTTATTTGTGTACCTAAAGATATTGTACCTATGCCTCATGACCATAGGGGCTTTTTTCCCCTACCAGGAAAAGAAAAACCAATGAGTTCTGGACCAGTAATATTAAAGATATATGATTCTATGTGACCTTTTTTTATATAGCAGGTGTAGAGATTATTAGAAGATCTTGTAAAAAAAGTTACATTGTCTTTTTTCACCCATTATCACGATATCTTTATTTTTAAATCCTGTAAAGTATAAACAGTGAGTTCCTTTGTACCAAGTATGACCTAGAAAAAATGAATCTTGCTCCTTTTAATTGTTAAGAATGTTATTGACATAAATTCTCTTCCATGATGTCATCAACCTAAACTCAGACCTATCATAGAGGTTTAATTTGCAAAAAGTATAGAATAATGGGGTATGGTGTCTATGTCTAGATACAATCTATGTAGACATTTGTAAATAAAGCACTTAGTTCACATTCTAAGATGTTGCTGAGTGAAGGAACCTTTGTCATTTTTCAGAAATCTACTTAGGAAAGTAAACACACAAATCCTGGACCTCATTTTATGCTTATGTCATTCCAGCTGTTAATTTAATAAGGAGCAACAGAAGCCCAAGTTCAGAGGTCCAGCAAAGCATCTCTGTATTCAGAATTTTCAAACTGCTCTACCTGGTGTCTCTGCCCTAACTGTATTCAAATACTGTGCCAGTGCCAAGCTCATTGAAAAGGCTTTCTGACAATTCCTGTGAATTTCTGCACAGGCAAGGAGCCCTTACCTCATGGTGATGTGGTGGGGAAAGTAAATAGGCAAATATTACTGTTCTGTAGTCAAACTCCCATGCACTGGCACTATTTATCCCAGTTTCTGGGAGACGGAGGAATGTTTCACAGTGTGTTTCCCAATTTTACATTGTAGTTACAGAGGAAAATGCCATGTGCATGCTCCCAGGAGTACAGACATACATGCAATGGGAAGCTCAGTCTCTTTCTGCACTGCATGTTTAAACCTGTGGCTGAAATGCGTGGCATGGTCCATGCTAATGGGGCCAACAGTGGGAGTCTTTCCACTGCCAACAGGGATCTTTGAAGCAGATGCTGTAAAACTGAAGTGCCTTGAGAGCACAAATTCAAGTCAATAGGAGCAGTAGGTAATTGCTGTGGCTGCTTGAGTTTGCAGAGATTTGCTTTTGTGGTTTCAGGCAGGATGTGGAAGAAATCAGTGTCAAGCTGAGTTCAGTCCTTTCTTCTCAGCCCCTAGCTTGGGCTGC